AGGAGGGGGCAGAAGCAAGAGAAGAGGACGGAGAAGCAGGGGATGGGGGAGACCCTGGCGGGCGCCTGGAACTGCGGCGCTGCAGCCCGCGGGGCAGGCCGAGCAGCGACGGAAGGAGGCCTGGGCGTGGAGCCGTTCGGGGCGGCGGTGATGGAGCGAGAGGGCGGCTCGGGCCCCCGCGCGCCCTCAGGAGCGAGTGGCACGAGGCCGTCCAGATCAGGTGCGAGCAGACTGGGTCGGAGGGTCGCACCCGTAAGCGTCGCCGATGCATCGGAGACCTCGGGGTCGAGAAAAGCGAGCTGGGCTCCAGACCGCGCCGCACTGCCGTTGGCAACGGCGATGCGGCGCGATCCTCAGGCCCCCGTCTGTCTGGAGGGCCGACACGGGGCCGGACATAGTGGGGGCCGAAGCTGACGGCGATCCCTGCGTGTCCCGAACAAGACTCACCGTCGGTGTGGCCGTGGACGTTGTCCGCTTGGGACGAACACCGCCTGCTCAACAACGGCCACTGCTGGTTTTGAGTAACATTTGGTCTGGCCATCGTCCTCATCTTTTGTCGGCTGCGCGCAAGAGTGACCCGTGAACTTTGGCGCGCTGCTTGCCGATCGCTGCGTGCGGTGTACAAACGGCGGCCTGAGTGCTTGGGCTTGGCCCCGCCGCGCCCCGCCCCCCTCCCCCCCCGACGCCGCGCACCAACGTCCACTCTGGCGAAGGGGCACTCCGTGCAGCGCTCCCGAATGCTGGGCGTGCTGACTGTGGATCTGCTCTGGCCCCGTCTGGGCGGCCCGAGATGGCGCTGGCCCGGCTCACGCGCGCGGGCCGCCCGGGCCGCGCTAGCCGTGCGCCCGGCAGGGCGACCGCGAGTCCCCGCGCGGCGGCGGTGTGGCCGGAGCCGCCCTCCGCGAAGAGCCAGCCGACCCGATGCGGTGGCCCGCCCGGCGGGCCGGGGCCGCCGGGGGCGGCATCTCGCACACGGGGGCGCCGTCCCAGGCGCGCGTCTGACCCAGCCGGCGCTTGTAGCCTCGGACCTCCTCTGCGCCCAGGGCGTCCCTGCTCCAGTTGCCGGACGACCTGCGCTTTCGGCGCCGCGGTGGCTCCTGGCCCAGCCTCTGGTAGAGGTCGGCTGGGAATACCCGCTCCATGTCTACTTCTGGGACCCTCGGGCCAAAGATGGTGTCTGGATCGATGGCCGTCTGCTTGGATATCACCTCCAAGAAGTGGTCGCACCACGCAGGCTGTGGCGCGTCCTCGTCGTCCTCCTCCTGACGGTGCGCCAGAGGGGGCAGGGTGAGGGGGCGGCATCCTGAGAGGTATCCCAGTTGTATCCGAGGCTCTCTCGCCTCTGAGAGATCTTGCCGGGAACCTCTCATCAGAGAAGGCCGCGCGCTGCCCCCTTCCCAAACTCTGGTCATCGTGTTTCTGCTGCCAGCGTGAGCCCCCTGAAGTCTCGATTCCTTGCCCCGGGAATGGTCTGTCATCCCGAGCCGTTCCTTGACGGCCCTGGGACTTGGTGAGGGCCCTGCAGAGGCCGAACATCGCCCACAGCCTTCCTTCGTGCTTTCGGGTCATAAGTCGGGTCTCCGTCCGCCGCTGAGGGCGATCCGGGCACCCCTGGAACGCCCTCGGCGAGGCGCAGCTGCAGGAACGCATCCCCAGTCTGGAACCTCGACGCGAGGGGGTCTGGGCTTGGCGCGCCGCGAGTCCTCGCCGTCCTCGCCGGCCTCCGAGCCGCCCTCGGCGGCGGACAGGGAGGGCCTCCTGTCCGGGATCTCGACGTTGTCTTCGGGGCGCGGGGGCGGCAGCTCGAGCTCCCGCAGGCGCGCCAACGGGTCCTTCGGGGGCGCCCCCATAGGGAGCCCACAAAGGACGTACGCGCCCAGCTATGTACATGAACACGGCCCCTCGATTCGCGAGACCGGCCGCGTGATACGAACATTTGTGCAATGCGTGCTCTCGAAACCAGCGTGGATTCATGTATATGTACGTCCTTCTTTCGCTCCTGACCCCAGGGCCTCCCACGGCTCGGCTCCTGTGGACTGGCCCGGCCTCGCCTGCCTCGTACACGGGGGGCACCGAAACGAGGAGGCCCAGCTCGGGGGGGGGGGGGGGGGAACAGGGACACGGAATCGGCGATGCCTCGCCGATCGATCGACGACGGGCCCCCGATGGGAGAACCCAGACGTTCCTGGGCAGGCTGGGCCCCCCAGGCCCCGTTCGGCTCCAGAAGTGGCCAGAGACGCCCAGCAACCTCGACCCTCGATTTCCTCGGCCAGGCCACTGTGGAGTGCAGCCTGTCCCCCGATACTCAAGGCCCCGTGAGCGGGGACTCTGTTAAACCAGGACGCGGGCACGCCCGAGGAGGCTGCAACCATATGGGTCGACACATCCCCGCCGCTCTTCTTCTCCTCTAGCCTCCTCCAGCCGCATACTGGAGAGCCTTGGTTGGCAACGCCGCGGCCACGGGGGCGCTGAGACTTCCGAGTCGCCAAACAGGTCCTGGCGGATCGCCGGGGCCCGCGCTCGCGCCGCGGCGGCGGGCGGCGCGCCCGCGGACGCCGCCGCCGGCCGTTCCGCCCCAATCGCGTCGAAGCCGCCCGCGCCGGCCGGGGCTTCCGGCACGGCCGCTGCGGCGTCGGGCCGCTCTGGTCGCGCCCCGTGGGGCTGCGGCTGCCTGGCTGGCGCCACTCTCCTCCTCGCTCATGCACCTCCCTCCTTCCCCGTCCCTACTTCCTCCCTCCGTTCCTCCTTCTCTGCTTCCTCCTCCTCCTCCTCCTCCTCCTCCTCCTCCTCCTCCTCCTCCTCCTACTTGGTGGCCTCCTCAAACTGTTGCTGCTGCTCCTCCTCCTGGTGGGCCTCTTTGAAGTTCTGCTACTGCTGTCCCTCCTCCTCCTCCTCCTCCTCTCCTCCTCCTTCTCCCCATCCTCTGCTCGCTTCTCCTCCGCCTCCTGCTTCATTTTTTTTCGACTTGCTAATCGCGGTCGCTGGTAGCCTCAGCTCTGCTGCTGCTCCTCCTCCTCCTCTTCCTCCTCCTCCTCCTCCTCCTTCTCCTCCTCCTCCTTCTTCTACTTGGTGACCTCCTCAAACAAATGCTGCTGCTCCTCCTCCCGGTGGGCCTCTTTGAAGTTCTGCTACTGCTGTACCTCCTCCTACTCCTCCTACTCCTCCTCATCCTCCTCCTTCTCATCCTCCCCATCCTCTGCTCGCTTCTCCTCCGCCTCCTGCTTCAATGTTTGTTCGACTTGCTAATCGCGGTCGCTGGTAGCCTCAGCTCTGCTGCTCCTCCTCCTCCTTCTCCTCCTCCTCCTTCTTCTACTTGGTGACCTCCTCAAACAAATGCTGCTGCTCCTCCTCCCGGTGGGCCTCTTTGAAGTTCTGCTACTGCTGTACCTCCTCCTCCTCCTCCTACTCCTCCTCATCCTCCTCCTTCTCATCCTCTCCATCCTCTGCTCGCTTCTCCTCCGCCTCCTGCTTCAATTTTTGTTCGACTTGATAATCGCAGTCGCTGGTAGCCTCAGCTCTGCTGCTGCTGCTGCTGCTGCTGCTGCTGCTGCTGCTCCTCCTCCTCCTCCTCCTCCTCCTTGGTGGCCTCCTCAAGCAGATGCTGCTGCTCCTCCTCCCTGTGGGCACCTTTGAAGTTCTGCTACTGTTGTACCTCCTCCTACTCACCCTACTCCTCCTTATCCTCCTCCTTCTCATCCTCCTCATCCTCTGCTCGCTTCTCCTCCGCCTCCTGCTTCAATTTTTGTTCGACTTGCTAATCGCGGTCGCTGGTAGCCTCAGCTCTGCTCCTCCTCCTCCTCCTCCTCCTTCTCCAACTTGGGGGCCTCCTCAACAGATGCTGCTGCTCCTCCTCCGGTGGGCCTCTTTGAAGTTCTGCTACTGCTGTACCTCCTCCTACTCCTCCTACTCCTCCTCATCCTCCTTCTCATCCTCCCCACCCTCTGCTCGCTTCTCCTCCGCCTCCTGCTTCAATTTTTGTTCGACTTGCTAATCGCGGTCGCTGGTAGCCTCAGCTCTGCTCCTCCTCCTCCTCCTCCTCCTTCTCCAACTTGGGGGCCTCCTCAACAGATGCTGCTGCTCCTCCTCCGGTGGGCCTCTTTGAAGTTCTGCTACTGCTGTACCTCCTCCTACTCCTCCTACTCCTCCTCATCCTCCTTCTCATCCTCCCCACCCTCTGCTCGCTTCTCCTCCGCCTCCTGCTTCAATTTTTGTTCGACTTGCTAATCGCGGTCGCTGGTAGCCTCAGCTCTGCTCCTCCTCCTCCTCCTCCTCCTCCTCCTCCTCCTCCTCCTCCTCCTACTTGGGGGCCTCCTCCAACAGATGCTGCTGCTCCTCCTCCCGATGGGCCTCTTTGAAGTTCTGCTACTGCTGTACCTCCTCCTACTCCTCCTACTCCTCCTCATCCTCCTCCTTCTCATCCTCCCCATCCTCTGCTCGCTTCTCCTCCGCTTCCTGCTTCAATTTTTGTTCGACTTGTCAATCGCGGTCGCCGGTAGCCTCAACTCTGCTCCTGCTCTCCGGCTCCGCCCTCCATACGCCATCCTCCATTCTCCCCCTCCGCCTCCGAGGTCATGAACGGACCTGCTGGTCCTCCTCCTCCTCCTCCTCCTCCTCCTCTTCCTCCTCCTCGTCTTGCTGCTGCTCCAACACCCTCAGCCTGGCAGAACGCCCAAGAATCCCTTATGCCACACCGTGACAACTTCCCAGACTCGCTAGAAGCCCTTTCGTCCTCATCCCCTCTCTTCCCTCCTCCTCCAACTCCTCCTCTTCCTCCTCATCCTCCTCCTCCTCGTCGCCGCCTCTGCCGTCCGAGTGAACATCTGCTCAAAATCGATTCCCAGACCCTTTCCTGGGCCTGTCCTGGCCAGATTTTCGAGCTGCGCCCGTTTAGGCGACGAGAACCTCCAGACGCGCCCGACAACATCTGAAACGACGACGACGACGTCGCCGTCGCTGGGCGCTCTGGGGGTCAAAAGTTCGGCCACAGGCATTGTCCAGGGATGCGTTCCAAACATAATGCCGAGGCGGATCTGGTTGCCACAAGGGCGCCCCCGGAGTCCCAACAGCGCACGAAGACCCCGACCCCCGATCCGACGACGACACCGTCGTCGGTGCCGCCGCCGCCTCTGCCCTGGCTGCCGCGTGCCAGCGGCCGCGACGACAACTGCGGGGGTGATGGCGATGGTGGCAGCGAAGCGGCGCCGGCGGCGGTGCGAAGGCGAGCGTTGACGCCGATGGCGGCGGCGGCGGCGTCTGTCGCTCGGCGCCGAGGACGCGCCTGGCGCCGCCTGGCGCTGGCCCTCTGCGGGCAGGACGGCTGGGGCCCCCCGCTGGCGGCCCCCCCGCGGCCTGGCGCGGGCGGCCGCCGTCGCTCGTCGTCGTCGCTCGTTTGCCGTCGTCGCTTGCCGTCGTCGTTTGCCGTCGTCGCTTGTCGTCGTCGTTTGTCTTTGTCTTTGTCTTTGCCATTGTCTTTGTCTTTGTCGTCGTCGCCGCCGCTGCCGTCAATCGTCTGTCGTCTGTCGTTTGTCGTCGTCGTTCGCCGTCCTTCGTCGTCGCCGCCGTCATCAGCGCTCGTAGCCTTTAGTCGTTCGTCGTCCGCGTTATCGTTGTCTTCGTTCGTCGTGGGTGTCGTCCTGGTGGTCGTAGGGAAGGAATTTGCGAAAGACAAAAAGGAATAAGGGGGAGTGGGAGGGCGAGGGCGGGAGGAAGGGATGCGAGGGGGGACGATGAGAAGAGGGAGGGAGGGAGGGAGAAGGAGGGAGGAGGAGGAGGAGGAGGAGGAGGAGGAGGAGGAGGAGGAGGAGGAGGAGGAGGAGGAGGAGGAGGAGGAGGAAAAGGAGAAGGAAGTGGAGGAGGAGGAGGCGGAGGAGGAGGAGGAGGAAGAGATGAAATGATTTGATATGAGATGAAATAAAATGATATGACATGAGGACACCGCTACGCGGACGCAGGGGCGATCCGCGCGTGGCCGCCCGCGGGACGCGGGCGCATGGGCGCGTCAGAGCGCGGCGCAGGGCGAGGGGTCCCCCGACGGGGAGACGTGGGGCTCAGCCCCTCGCCCGAGTGTCGCCCCGCCCGCCGCGGCGGCGGGGGGAGGCAGGGGGAGGAGGAGGAAGAGGACAAGGACAAGGACGAGGGCATCCGCATACAAGGGGGTTCAGCGTCAAAGCACCTGCGCTGGTGCCTTGCGCGCTTCTGCCGAACTCCTCTGCGATTGGTTGTGCAGCGGCCCTGTCTTCTCACTCGGGCCGGCAGGGGGCGTGCCACGCCGGTCAGGGACTGAACTCCGAGGTGGCCTCGTAAAAAAGGCTCGCTGCCTTGCGATTGCGAGTCCCTGCGGGTCTGCGCGGGGGGGGCAGCTGCTGGCCCTTCCGCGCGCCCTAGGGGAGGGGGCACGCGGGCTCGACAGCGCGCCCAAGCTAGGGGGGGGAGGCGACGACACGACAACTCCCAACGGAAGAGGGGGGCAATGACGGACGGCCCGTGTCCGTAAACTGTTGCTGGGGAACCTGCTTACCCTGCTGTTTTATTATATTTGTTTTTCCTCTCCCGCTCGGCTCACTTCTCTCCCTCGATCTGGCCGAAAGTATACCATGCGTTGCCGTATCTGTGCTCTGATACCCTGTTGTAGCCTCCCACTGTTCCCCGTCGAGGTGTATGTGGGGTAGAGCACGCTGGTAGTCACGGTATGTAGTAGGTGGGCCCACCGAGGAAGCACTCTAATGGACTTCGTGATGATTACCGTTTTTCCACTCAACACCCTGCAGTAATGTACCTGTCGGCCGTGCAAATAATACTTTCCATTGCGATGACAGTGCGAGCACTCCGTGATTGCCCGTCCTGATTACCTAGGAGTTGCACTCCGAAAGCGCCTCGCTAATGCATCTCTTGGCTGCCTGTGGGCTCGTCCAGATCGCCCAGAGTAGCACTCCAAGAAAAATCGCTCATGTTTCTCTTGGCTTTCCAGTGGGCCCCAGTGGGTGCTTTCGCTGGTGGCCGCTGGAGGAGCTGGCCGTTGTCGTCTCCCCCGACTTGGGGTAGCCGAACTTTGCCTCGAAATCTCGATGTCATCCAGCAGGGTCTGCGTGTTGTCTCGTAGCTTCTGGCGCTCTTTGAACCTCTTCACTTCCTCTGGGTCGAGATTGTCTTCGTTGCTCAGCTCCTTCAGGGCGGCCTTCATGACTTTGTGGACGTTTTCTTCGTCCTTCTTTGATATCTTCAGCACGGGCCCTGCAAAGTGAAGGCCTTCCTCCCTGCCCTGTCCCACGCGTGCACAAGGCACCTTGCGATGAGAGCGCATCCTTTGGCCTTGTGCCTCATCGGGAAGGGCGCGAGTATCAGCTTGAAAAGCTCCTCTCGGCTCATTTCCTGGGCGGCGTCGAAGAACTGGTAGTGGCGCTCCTTGATGGCGTCGTCTAGCTGCTGCGGCAACCTCTCCGCTGCGAGCGCTTCCCATCCATTTCTCACCTTGAGCTCCACCGCCATTGACGGCCACTCCTGTACGGGAGGAACTTCGACTTGCACCCGATGTCTGGCCACCCCTCGC